CGCCTGTCCTGTTTCACTAACCCATTCGCACCGGCAGGGACCAGCTCCAGCCGCTGTCACTGGCAGACAGGGAAATCGGCTTAAGGGCTTAGGCTGTAGCCACACCCTGTGGTCACACGCCGGGGCCAGGCCAGGGAACACACATGGAGTGTCGCACCTGGAGCAAAGCACTGGGGACGTACGCTGGGGCAGCGCTGGCCTAGCACTAGGATCCCCGTTCCGCTCCTGGCTTGGATCCTGGTTGGGGTCCCTGCTTCCCACACCCAGCTCGGACCCCAGCTGGAGCTCCCCGGGGATCCTCGGCCCTCTGGGCACTCACAGAGACCTCTGCGCCAGGCTTCAGGGACCGCCACCGCTTCCACCTTTTCCCCACCCCCGACGCCTGCAGGCGCTGCCCTGGCAACCGTCACCAGAGAAACCAGCAACGTTGCTCCCGCCTACCTGAGCGGGGCCGTGAGCTCTTAGCCTGACTGGCTCTGCTGGCCGGAGGAGAAACCGCCCCGCGAGATGTACGGGAAAACACAGCACGCCCTTCAAACTTTAATTTTCCGGGGTGCATTTCTTGAGTTGTTATTATTAATTATTATTACTACTATTTAAAATTTTTTTAAATTTAATAACCATATGATTAGAAGAAGCATTTCATTACAGCTTTAACATATTCAGTAACACATTCCAGAGTAAGGATATATCTCTTCAGCAGTGACTGTAAATTTTTAGGTTCACAGTTCAATTAATACAGTTGTACATTTTTGAATGCAGTATAAACCCTGTAACATAAAATTGAAAATTGAATTACGCTTTAAAGAAGATCTCCATTTCATTTTAAAATATGCTATTTATATAAACACAAAAAATCAACAAATTAAAAAAAAGACATATTTGAGGAGGAAGCATAGAAATTTACTTCATATTAAATAGTAGAGGTGATAAATTTTACTAGTGAAATCTACCTGATGACTTTATATCCATACTTAGGTACTAAGGATCCGAGTGACCGACTGTGACTAGACATCCATGAGTCACAGTATTGACTGGCATGTAAACAGAAATACTAATCTGATGGTTTATATTTGGGTATTGGGACTGATATCCAGAGCTTCTCTCTTCCCAGGACCAGGACTCATGAGGCCCAGAGTCACCAGAAAGATATTGTGAGCATGGATTCAGAGCAAACTGAGGCAAACTGTCTTGAGGAATTTTTGGTTGAGGGTTTTAAGCCTTACTGTGCTGGATAGCTTTAGGCCTACCTGGGAAGAGGGAACATCAACTGGGGATTGTCTCTGATTGGCCTGTGGGCATGTCTGTGAAGCATTTTCTTCATCACTGAGTGATATGAGAAGGCCCAGCCCACTGTGTGTGGTGTCGGCCCTGAGCAGGTGGTCCTGGGTTGTATAGGAAAACAGACTAAGCACAGGCCAGGGGAAGAAACCAGCAAGCAGCATTCTTCCATGATCTGTGCTTCAGTTCCTGCCTTGACTTCCCTCCTAGGACTGTGACCTAGGAGTTATAAGCTGAAATAAACCTTTTCCTTCCCATGCTGGTATGGTCAGTGTTTTATCATAGCAATAGAAAAGCTAACTAAGACACTGACTATTCTACTTCCTACTCAAAGAGCTCCACAGAGAACAAAACAGTCCATTTTCTCCAAGCTGAAGCCACACCCTGATGGAAGTTCTGCCTCTTAAACTCATGATGGACTTGGGTTTTGCTGGCCAACCAGCCTCCTTCAGACTCTGTGGCACATTTCATTTTAGGTCTCACTTTGGCTCCAGTTACGTCTGATTTTACCCATAGAGTCCACTTGTCTTGAGATGTAGTTGTATATATAGAGACCTCAGGCATAGCTGACTTTATCAGAAAACTCCATGTTCTGCCAAGATCCAGTGACCCTCAAGTTCCAAGTGACTTCCCTGATGGGTGAGATCTATTTCGGTTCTTCACCAGGCCTTTAGCACAATGGATTGGGAATACATGCTGATTTTTCTCCCAAATTTCTCAGTCCAATTTTGGTTCATGTCATGGTCTTTTTTTCTTTTTGTTTAATGCTTTTACTTATTTTTGTGGTGCTAGGCATCGAACCCAGTGCCTCACATGTGCTAGCCAAGTACTTTACAACCACATCACATCCCCAACCACACACAGTCTTTTGAAACACACAGATGAGGGGCTGGAGAGATGGCTCAGTGGTTAAGACCACTGGCTACTCCTGAAGAGGACTCTGGTTTGATTCCCAGCATACACATGGTGGCTAGCAACTGTCCATAACTCTAGTTCCAAGAGATTTGATGCCCTCTTCTGGCCTTCTGGTCTTTGCATGACACAGTGCACTTACATACATTCAGGTAGTACACACATACACATAAAATAAAATAACAAAATATTAAAAAGAAATCTGAGACTGGGTTTTTGGGGGGTTGGGGA